TTCTTGCTTTGTTACTGGGAGAAAGACAATGGTTTCTTCTCAGCATGGATGTGCTTCTCTATGTAAAACAAGTGACTTTTCAGGCAGGACAATTCTTCCTTGCGTAGGACTTTCCCGAGAATGCAGCCCCCGCCTTCCTCCCCCCGCCCCCTCCCGCCCATCCCACCCCATCTACTAAATGCCAGTCACATTCCCAGCCATTGGATAATCCAGACACCCCCACACATTTTCAGCCACCTTCAGGTTGGAAACTGCTGATGAGTTCCTGGTACAGTTTACTGGGCCATGTCATGAAAACAGCAACAGATGCTCACCGGACCCTGCTGAAGTGAATATTGTTCTCCTGCCTTGTTCTGCTCCGGGCCAAACTCCAGTGGGTAGAGGAAGGGGCCGGAGGAAAAGGTTTCATTTAATAGATGGGGCAGCAGTGGAGCTCACTCCTGGGACTGGGGCTCATGAATATTCATGAGACTGGGGGACCCTGAGACTTCAGGTCGGGCCTTGGGTGGGTGAGTGAACTGCCTGCCTGTCTGGCTTATCCCCTACCATGTAGCAGCCCCAGAGAGGTTGCCAGGCCTGCCCTCTCCATGGCCCTGAGAGAGACAGCTGGGCCATACACTAACTAGAGCACCATAGACATGCCAGTGATTGGCACGTCCTTAAGAAATAGTTAAGAGTATCCACTCAGCATTGTTGAGCAGGGCAGGACAGAGGGGAGATGGCTGGTGGCCACCGTGGACCACTCATTCAGAGTGATTCTGCTGTGGCTGACCCCAAATTTGCCTTGTGGTTAACCAAGTGTAGCGCACGCACCTCGAGGTCTTCAGACAGCATGTTAAACTAGTCCTTGCCACCCCCAGAGACTCCTTGAAACAGATCTTGGTGTTGTAAACACAACTCTGTCCACCTCCTCCCTTTTCCAGTGATGGTTGGCTGTCACGGGCTGTAACCCTTCTAGACCGGCTTTTAATCTGGCTCGGGCTCCGCAGGCACTAGACCTCCAGAGGTTTTCCTGGACAGCACAGCGTTCACCGACGGAAATTCTCTCAAGGTGCAATTTAAGCCTTGTTTCCTCAGGCCTACGCCCATGCCTCAGCATATGAGCAAGAGTTTTTTTCCTCGTTCTTCCGTTCGGTGTTGAGATTTCAGACCAGGACCAGAGTGGGGCTTTCCTGTAGGTCACCTGAGGGGGGTGACTGGGTTTGGGAAGGGACCAGGCAGGCACCTCTGTGGTAGCGGTTTAACCCCAAACCCCCGTAGACAGTGTTTCTTGAACTTTCTTGTGTTAGGGGCCCCTGTGGCTATCCGATGGAAGCAGAAGTCCTTCTGAAAATCCCCAGAAAAGTTCATGCAGAATTTTTGAAGAGTTTATAAACAGGCCCTCTATGGCCTCACTGGCTGGGCACTGTCCAACTCTACAGGTGTTGTTTGCACAGAAGGGCACACCCTGGAGGTGGATCCTAAAGGAGCCTATTCAACAGTCAGCCCAAGGTTTTCCAGGTCTTTCTAGAGATCCTTGGTGAAAATCCCTGAGTAGTGCCTTTCCACCCTGGCCACAGTTCCCTGGGTCTGGATGGAGCCAGGGTAAGAGGTTACCACTGCCCTCACTGGGTCCCCCGGCCTCTCCATTTCTCCTGCTTCCTTTCTATGCACCTTTCTTTCCCTCTTACTGAAGACATCTCCAGAATCCCTGATTATTCCTACTCACTTTCCCTCGCCACCAGAACATTCAAGTTCCGATCATTTTGCATTGCTGAGAATTTAGCTGTCACCTCACTTTAAAAGTTTTCTATTGCTCCGATGCTGCCAGTATCGGGGGGGGGGGGGCGGCGTG